CAGGAGTGGGGTTATAGCATGCATGGACGATCTCCTGGTTAGTCTGTGACGTTAGGGGTGCTTGTTGGTGCTCTGGGTTTTGGGTATTTTTTTTAAAGTTTACTTATTTTCATTGGACAGATTTACAGAGAGAAGGAAAGATAGAAAGATCCTTCTGTCCACTGGTTCACTCCCCAAGCGGCTGCAACAGTCAGAGCTGAGCTGATCCAAAACCAGGAGCCAGGAGGTTTGTCCAGGTCTTCCTCACAGATGCAGGATCCCAAGGTTTTGGGCCGTCCTCAACTGCTTTCCCAGGCCACAAGCAGGGAGCTGGATGGAAAGTGGAGCAGTGGGACACGAGCTGGCATCCATGCGGGATCCTGGCACATGTAAACCAAAGGCTTTAGCCATTAGGCTACTGTGCTAGACCCAGGTGCTCTGGGTTTTGAAAACTCAGGGCTCAGTGCTTGCTCCTCCTCACTTTCCTCCTGAGCAGCCCCATATCCTGGGCCATATTGGCAGGGTTGCTGGGCACCTGCCTCACACCCAGGGGATAGTCATGGGCTCATGCCCCCCCAAACACTCCTGCCCTAAGTACTTCCTGTGTCTGAGCTCCCTCCCTGGCCCAGGCCACTCCCAGGCCCTTGCCTTGGCGCCTGCAGTCTCTTTGACCTTGGGCTGTGCTGTAGGCTGAGGGAGGGGCCAGGTGTACCTGTGTTTTGGTGCTTTGCCAGGCCCGGTGCCCAAATCCCTGTCACGGCTGACTGGCTGGGCAGGCTGGTGGGGCCAGGCCCTGAGGGCTGTTCCCATGAAGAAGCTGAAGAGACTTGTGGGGGCGTACCTCCTCCTCCCCCTCCCACAAAACAGGCTCAAGCCTGGGGCCGACCCTACCTCCCACCTGAGCAAAACAGGCCCCCTTCCCACTGGGCAGATCTACTGTTCCCACAAATTCACCTGCTCTGGCTCCTGGCCCAGCGTTCTCACCATCAGCTTTTCCTTGTCGGTTCAGAGAACCCTGTGGGTGAGCAAGCACCACAAGCACCGCAGGGGGGAGGCAAGTACCAGCTGGCTGACCTCTGATACTGTCCAGTGTGTTGGATGCCACCAAGAAGGGGACAGGGCTCTGAGAGCCCCCGGGCACGGCACAGTCGGATGGTGGAGAGAGCTGGGCAAGTCAGCAGCAGGGTCGGCGTGGCTAACCCTGGACCTAGAGGAGCTACAGGGGCAGCACTGGACAGCCACAGGCAAGACACAGGCTCTTCTGCTTGGGGGAACTCAGGGTGGCCTCAGGCCTCAGGTTCTCAGGATCCTGCCGCACTTTCCTCTCTTTGGCTCCCAGGGCTCTGGGTTGGTGAAGAGCCAGTTGTTCACACTGCAGTAGGTGGAGCTGTACCTGTGCATGAGGAAATGGGGACCCCTTTGGCCAAGGCCTACAGGGTACTGCCTGATGGCCCCCAAGGGATCCGACCACTTTATGACCATCTCTTGGCCGAGGGAAGCTCTCTGCCAGCTGCTCGTCCCCATGGAGGCTGAGGTTCGTTGACTTTGCATAGAAAGTGGCTCTGCCTTTGTCCATCTGTGTTCCTGTGCCAGCCGGCCAAGCCGTGGGACTGGCATGCTAGGTCCAGGGTGCAGAGCCCCCGAGGTTCCCTGAACGGGTTCCATGAACCTCACAGTTGCAGCCTGGAAAGGGAAGGATGGAGGCGATTCCAGTGGGCCCGCCCCCACCCCCATCTTCTTCCTGTTTTGGCCTGCATTGGGAGGTGACTTTTCTGTGGGCAGCTGAGCATGTCAGCACTGGGAGCCTTCCTTCCTCCTCCCTCTCTGTGGATGTAACCTACACTTCCCAGACGCCCAGGTTCATGCCCCAGATAGCGGTGTGTGGGGTACATGGCAGCCACTCTTGCCAGCCCCGCACCTGTGGTCCTGGCTCCTGGAGCAGACGGCACCTGAGGAGGTTCCTGTCCATCTCTGCGAGTCCTGGCTCCAACTCAGCAAGACAGACCTGCCAGCTGCGTGCAGTGAGTCACCTCATGTGGTTGCCTCCCTGGAGCTGGCTCCTTCTAGGGGCCCCTGACTGGCCATGGCCCTTGTCCTTGTTCTCTTGTTACTCTGGGCCGCAGGTGCCATGGTACAGGTGCCCGCTGGATGGCATGGAGAGCTCCTTCAAGGGCCTTGGCCAGGCCTCCCTGAACATGGAGTTGTTGGTTGAGACGGTGGTCACCAGGCTGCCTCCCACAGGGCATGAGGCTTCAAGGGCCTGCCTGGACGTCAGGTGCGAGCCGTGATGTCAGGCACCATACAACAGACATAGGTGGCTTCCCATGAGCCCTACACAATCACAGGGACCTGCAAACTCTCTGAAGGAGCAGGCATTGTAGGCTAGCCCAAACACACAATCTCTCTTTCTCTCTCTCTCTCTCATTTGCTGAAGCAGGGCTCTTGCATCAGCAGAGTCAACAGAGCTGACAGAGGTGGCCGGGGATAAGGACCTTGCTCTCATTTCAGAGGGCACAGGGCACAGAACTGACCTCTGCCCTCTCTGGCCCAGGTCATGAGGGTTGCCATAGGGCCCGGGCGGTGCCAGTGAGTGGAGTGAGCACAGGTGGTTCAGGGCCTGGTGTCTGGGGCTCTGTGACCCACGGGACCCCTGGCCCAAGGCACAGCTGGACTCTCATCACAGCAGGACCAGGAATAGAGAATGCTGAAGGCAAAATGCAGCAGGAAGCTTCAGCAGGACTTCTAAGCCAGATTTACAATTGTTGAAGAGGAAAACAGCAGAATGAGATGTTTAAAATCAGGGGTAGGGGGATTTGTGAGCCCACCCATTGCCCTGAGAAGGCGGCCCCCACAACTTGGAGCAGATGGTCAGATTTTCCATAAAAGACCCTGTGGCTCCTCGGCAGGGTCTCCACGCCCAGCCCTCAGTTGCCCCCCGGCCCCCTGATTGGCTAGGGGTGCTTTGTTCACTGTTAGTGTTTCTGTCCATCAGGGGGAAGCTGTGGAGTGAGCAGCGTGTTCTGTGGCCACACAAACATGGCCCCTGCTCCACAGGCTGCTGCTTGTCCAGTTTCCCTCTCTGCCTCAACTCCCAGGAGCTGTTGCATGTGAAGCAAATGCCTCCTTCCTGTCTGTGTGTGACACGGTGCCTGGTGTGTGTCCTGTAGGACTCTCTATAACCCTGTGTGTGACACTGTGCCTGCTGTGAGTCCCATCCGACACTGTAACACTGAGTGGTGGCTCCTGACTTGACCAGGTGGAAGCATTCTATCCTCTTCTGGTTTCATAAGTGACAAGCTAAACCTCAGCACATCACCTTGACCCCTCTGTGCCCTGAGTGTGTTTCTGGTTTTTCCCTGGCTGAATGTCTGTGGGCAAGTCAGAGGGTTCTGCTGAGGCAGACTTTTACATGGCAAGGGGCAGCAACCCACTGCTCCAAAAGGCTGCTCTAATCTCTGCCCAGCCACTTACACATTTGAGTCTCTGGCACTGTAAGGCGTGCATTGTCTATCTTCCAGGAATGAAGAGCTCCCACCATGTCCCAGCTTCCTGGGTGAGCCTGAAGCCACATTGTTGGCAACCAGTCACATGGGCCTTCAGCAGGGTATCAGGAGCCAGGTGGGGAGGACGGGTCACTCAAGGCCAAGTTTTGTGCTTGTGGAATCAGGACCAGGCATTGCAAAGCAGGCTAGAGACAGATGTAGCACCTCTGCCGTGTCCACAGGAGGGCCTCTGCCTGGTGCCATGGGATTTTACCTGAGGAAGATATCTCAGGCCAGGAAGGTGGCGGTTGGTGTGCCCATCACTGTGGACAGCGCCTGGACATGCTCCCAGGACCCTGACTTCTAGCTCCTTGCCATGCCAGGCACTGTGGGAACTCAAGTGTGTGGCATGTATTTTAGTAACCACCCAGCACAAGGGAATGGTGAGCCCGGAGAGGTGTGGTTGGGGTCCAGCGGGAGCTGGCACAAGTGCCATCTTCTGTACCCTGTCCCACGGTTGCTGCACCACTGTGAGCTTGTGGGTGCTGAGTGCACGGCAGCTGTGGCAGTACCAGCAGCAGCCACTACTCCTTGTGGGACACTGAGTGGAGCCGCTACTGCTGGCTAGGCTGAGTGCTGGGCACCCCCGCATGCCAGGAACCTTCAGGTGCTGGAGGGAAGGGGAGGTGAGGAGTTCTGTGTTCACAGTCAGGGCAGATGCAGGTTGGGCCCCAGGGACAGGGACTGGGAGTTGTGCTGCGAGTGGCACCACCCTGCCTCCCTGCGCCTTCCCAGCACCCGCTGGGATTCACTGACCTTCAGCCATAGTCCAGGATAATCCTGCTGGGGCTGTGTGTAATGGAAGCCTATACTCTGTTCTGACGGGGTCTGCCCAGAGCTTTACAGCCAAGGCCCAAGCTGGCTGCTGGCATCTGGACCGACCTCACACTCACAGAATCCAATGACAGGCTTTGGGGAGGAGGCTTCTGAAACACGCAGACAGGACAGAAGGCAGGGAGAGGTGCCCGGGGCTGTCAGAAAACCCCAACTCTGTCCTCTTCTGTTTTACAGTGGACATTAGCGGCTCCGGATCACGATTTGTGGTGGGCTCGCGGCGATGGGCTCTGGTTCGCAGGTGCGCTCCGCCCGGACCCCCCACCCCCCACCCCCAGCCCCACTTCCCGCAGCGTAGAGGCGAGCCCTGCGGGCCAGTGTCAGCCCCCACAGCGGGCCCGGAGAAAGTTGTGCCGCCAGCCCCGCACTGGGCTCCCGGCGTCCCGGCCGCGCTGCGCTGCGCCCCGCACACGGTAGGGGTCGCTGCCGCACTCCCGCCGCGCGGGATAACGGGGCGGGCGCGGAGAAAGGAAGCCCGCGGGCGGCGCAGGGCGCGGGGCGCGGGCGCGGGGCACTCGGGCTTGGGCCGGCAGCGCGCGCAGGACGCGGAGCCCGGGGCGCGCGGAGAGCGCGCAGGCGGCGGTCGGAGCGCGCACAGCCCGCGAGCTGGCGGCCGCAGGGGGCCGCGGGGGGCGCGCCCCGGGAGGGCCCCCGGAGGCGCGCAGGATGTCCCGCGAGGAGGGGCCGACGCTGCAGAGGCCCCGCTACGGCTGTAAGTACGGGACGCGGACTTCCGCCCCCTCCCCAAATTCCTGGTCGTCGCAGGCAGCCCGATTGCCCCCACTCCACACCATGGCGGCGGGGGGTGGGAAGGAACGGAGGGCGCGGGGTTGCGAGTGCGGCGGGGTGGGTGGGAGTCCCGGGCGGCTGCGGGATGGGGCCGGGGGCGGCGTGAGACCAGACGAGAGGAGCCCGGCGGGCGGCTACAGGTGGCCCTGGCGCACGGAGAGTTCGGTGGGGGGGACCCGGGGCGCTGCCTCCCCAGGCCCGAGCCGGCGGGGACCCAGGTGAGTCCTCTCCAGCCGAAGCTGGAAGGGACGGCCCCGGGTCGCCCCCAGCGCCCGAGGGAGGCCGGGCGGGTGGGGGGCGGGGGCCGGAGGGGCTGGGTCCCGCGTGACTTGGCGAGCCCACGGCGAGGGGCTGCTGCGGGAGGAGGTGGAGCGGGCCAATCACGAGCGGCCGCAGCCAGATTAGCGCCTACCACGTGGCCTCGTGCGCAGAGTTCAGAGTCCCAAACCTGGGCCAGGAAGCGTTTCCTTCAGCTCAAATCGTAGGGCGAACCCGGGGCCCAGGTCGGCTGGGGGGCGGGACGCGGGTTTTCCTGCTGGTGGCGCTGCCCCCGCCACGGGGCTACACAGGCTCCGGGCAGGGGGGGCCTGGCCCGTGTCCCCCAACCCCAATCTCTGTGGAGGGTCCCGTGTAGGTTTGCCCCCTTGGGTCTGCCCGGCTGGTTTCTGTGTCCCAGGCCCCAGCTGTTTACATCCCCTGAGTGGGTCTGGGCGCGTGGGAGCTCGCGAGGTGGCTTCCTGAGTACTGAGACGGCTGTAGTGGGGGCATCACGGGACTGCGTGGTCGTTGGTATCACACTGGTGGCCTGCTTGGGGTGGTGCCCAACAGCAAGTGGGCGGGGCTGGTTCTCCCTGCCAGGTCCGGTGGAGGAGGTGTGTTTGCTGGACAGACTGGCCGGTCCTGGGGAACCTACTGTGCGGAAACGGGCCCCGCCCCCACTGTAGTATGGCAGCGTCCTGAATGGTGCGTGTGCAGGCTGCTGCCCCCTGGTTACACCTGAGTGTGCGCAAGTTCCTCCTAACCCCGCCCCCCAGGGGTGAGGCCTTGGGGCCAGATCTCTGCTGATCCCAGGGCCTGGGAGGAGCTGGGGTTGTCTTGGGGGTGCAGGGTGGGGCCCAGCCCTCAGCTTGCCCCAGCCCTCAGCTTGCCCTGGCTGCTGATGCTGAAGTCAAGGGTGGCTGCCCGGAGGTGCGGGCCCCAGTAACTGTGTTCAGAGCCCTTAGGTGTCCAGGTTCTTGTGCTACGTGTGTTTAAGCATGGCCTGCAGTGACATGGGTGCACACCACACCCATTCTGCAGACACTGCCCTCCCTCTGGGGTCGGCTTGCCCCTGGCCTGTTGGCAGGGACAGCTGGAGCAGAGGCTGACTCCAGGACAGGTAACTCCTCGTCTGCTCTCCACCCTCCAGAGAGGTGAGGCAGGCAACACCTGTGCCTGGGTGCCAGCAGCTGCTCACCCCCAGGGAACGCCCTGGGCCACCAACGGCTGTGTGCGCAAATGGTCAGGGCTGTGGTTTCCTCCCGGCAGAGGGATCCTTCCCCTCACGAGATGGGACAGCTTGTGCAACCAGCACTGAGGCAGCAGCCTTTGCCTGCTGCTTCCTCTGGAAGCTGCACCCCCATTTGTGTGTATGTCCCAGGGGTGCAGGCTGAGGGCTGAACCCCCAGCCTGTGTGTGTGTTCCCAAGGGGTGCAGGCTGAGCCCCCAGCCTGTGTGTGTGTGTGTACCCAAGGGGTGCAGGCTGAACACCCAGTCCTCTGTGTGTGTGTGAGTGTCCTGGGGGTGCAGGCTGAACCCCCAGCTCGTGTGTGTGTGCATTTCAGGGGTGCAGGCTGAGCCCCCAGCTCCATGTGTGTGCCCTGGGTGTACAGGATGAACCCCCTGCCCTGTATGTGTGTGTCCTGAGTGTGCAGGCTGAACACCCAGTCCTGTGTGTGTGTGTGTGTGTGTGTGTGTGTGTGTGTGTGTGTGTGTGTGTGTGAGTCCTGGGGGTACAGGCTGAACCCCCAGCTCCTGTGCCCACCCATGAATCAAGCCCCAGAGTCCCCCATGATGAGTAGTGGGCTGTCGGGTTGGCCTGAGCTGGGCCCCTCCCCCATGCCGTGCTGCAGTCAAGTTTTGCCTGGGACCTGTGAGGTCAACAGGAACATGTTGTTTGAGCAGCTTTTAGCTCTAATTACATGCACTCTCAGCTGCGCCGGCTGGTTTGTGAGTCTGAGTTTGCAGGGGTGTCTGCTGATCCTGTCCCCTCTGGGCTGTCAGCACAGCTTGGGGTATGTGGGGGGTGCCAGCAGCCCTGGCCCTGATTGAGCTCGTGGTCACCCAAGGGGCTGTGTAGGGCTGAATGGTGTTGAGTGAACACTGACAGGAAGTTTCTGCTTGTGACCTTGGCAGCTGGGCTTGTCCCTGGCTGTCACCTGCCTATTGTTCCTGGGAGCACCTGTGGTTTCCCTGTTTCACTTTCTCACTTTCCCACAGCTGGGGCTGGACAGCCAGAGAGCTGAAAGCGCTTCTCTGGGGCAGTAGCCAGCGGCCCCACTCTGTCCCTTTCAGATGACCGATGGTGCTCGCTGCGGAGATGGGAGGGCATTGCTGGGCTGCATTCCTCCCCAGGCACGGACCAGCTTTCTGAAAGTGTCTGGGTGTGGGTTGCGGACACCCTGTTGGCCGGTCCCTCTGCCCACCCAGGAACAGCCCTGAGTCATTCCATTCCTAGCAGGGCAGCTAGTGGTGTATATGTCGCATACACCTTATGGCCAGGAGGGTACAGCATAAACGTGACACACAGGTGACATGTTGCACATGTTACAGCGGCTGTGCCTCACAGCCAGGAGTGTCAGACACCTGCATGTTGTTCTGTGTGAGACACAGCTGGGAGTGCCAGTACATGTGTGCTCTACATGATGGGCACACCTCACAGCCAGGAATGTCAGACACCTGCATGTCATGTAATAAGTGAGAGTTATACATGCTGACAATGTTTCAAGGCCATGTGGATGACCACTGCGCCCTCCCTGCCCCACCCCCTATGTTACTCTTCCTGTCTGGGAGGCAGCTTGGTGATGCAGCAACTGCCTCTCTGAAGATGTGTTATCTCTGCATTCATTCCCAGCAACCTCAGGGGTCACTGGGTCCCCCGAGTGTGAGAGAACTGGCTATGTCCCAGAGGTGGTGGTGGGGGGAGTGGGAGCTCTCTCAGCAGTCTGCAATTGTTGCCTCACTCAAGTGCCTCGAGTGTCCCACAAGTGGTCAACGGACATGTGGCTGACCCAGTCACAGCTTGGAAGAACATGTGGAAAGGGAGAGGGCTCAGGTGTCACGGGGAGGGGCCAGCGGCCTCTAAGGACCCTGGAATTTGAACCTAACCTTGACCTTGGAGAGCATGTGCTTGTTGCCTGGGCTGGGTATGACTGAATGGCAAGGGAAGGGGGGAGCTGGAGGGGACATGCCTGCCCTCCCAACCTTCCTGTGGTTTGGGCTGTTCTTAGACCTTCTGTCTTCTGTTTCCTTTGACTTGAGGGCTGGAGACAAGTGGATGGAGAGGCCTTCCACCTCCTGGTTCCTCCCCTGTGCCCCTGTCAGGGCTGGGTGGAGCCCCAGCTGAGAGCCTGACTTTCCATCCAGAGGTGCCCCCGGGTGTGTACAGCCCGGAGCTGGGGTCAGGGTGGTGCTGGGCCCAAGGGCTCCTTGCAGGTGGCTATAGATGCCTGGCCCCAGAGTTCTTGGTTGAGTGGCTGATGAAGAGGACATGGAGGGGAGGCTGGGTGTGGGGTGTCTGGGATGGGCATGGTTGGCATCCCTCCAAGTGACCAGAGACTGCTGTGGTCAGGGGAGCTGGGAGTGCACCTGGCTCCCCATAGAGGAGAGCCGGGATTCTAGGGGTTTCTATAAAGTTAGGTTCAGGGTCCCGCCCAGGGCCTGGCACCAGCTCCTCCAGCGTTTGGGTATTTGATGCTGTATCAGGTTCTGCTCAATGTGTGTACCACACTGTGTGTCAAAATGAAAACACATGTCTGCCAAGAAAACCTTGATTTTAAATTTTATTTACTGGGAGAGAGAAATATCTATCTTGCATCATTCCACAGCCACCAGGCTAGGCTGAAGCCTGGAGCCTGGAGCCCCGTCCAGGTCTCCTGTGTGAGTGGTGGTGGCCCTCCTCCCTGACCTTCCTGGGTTGGAAATGGAGCATCTAGAACTCTGTGGGGCACTGGCATCACAGGTGGCTCCTTAACTCGCTGTGCCACCGTGCCAGCTCTGGCTTCGGCTTCCCTCCCAGCTGTTGGCGTCTCCTTCCCTTAGCTTCCTTGCTCATAAGGGTGGGTGGGGACAGGCAGGGTCAGAGGTCACCAGGGTGTGCCTCTGGGAATCTGCCCAAGTCTGCCCCACTCCTACCCCCACTCTTTTGTCCTCCCTTTCTGCATGGAGAAAGGGATAATACTTGGTCTAGGTGGGTTTCAATTTGGCCTCATTTGCTTCTTGGAGCCCCTGTCTGTTCACAGGTAGAGGTGGGGAGATAGGGCCCAGGGCTAACAGTGAAGCGGCTGCTGACACACCCACTAGGTGAGGCCAGTAGTACCTGGGGCCACCTAGGCTGCAGGTGAACCAACCCTGCAGGGTTAGGGGGAGGAGGAGGAGGTGCCTTTCTCTGGTCCACCACGGCCTCAGGAAGCTGCAGAGCTTTGGGTCAAGGTGGTGACCCTCAGCTGAGAGGCACCTGGAGTCTGGGAGCCTTAGAGCCGCCTTGCACCCAGGAGCCTCTGTGACCCCTGAGGCTCTCAAGTCCCACTTGGAGTCCCAAGCCACCCAGGTGTGAGCCAGCGTCCTGGCAGGATGCAGTCACCCAGCCGACCTTCAGGTGAGTGCGCCTTCCCCACCTAGGCACCCTGCCTGGGTGGGGAGAGCCTGGGCTTACTGCTGCCACCC